AATATCTCTAAGGGAATTTTTCTTTTTCAAAACAGGGAAAAGTTTTAAGTCTTGGACACAAGTTCTCTGAATGTCACCCTAAATTTATAGCTTGAATTTCCTCCACTCCTCCCCTTCTTCCTATGAAGCACTCAGATACTTAGAACTCCATTAATTCTTGAAGAAATACAACCAGCTGCCCAGCAAGTACCATTTCTAGGCACTCTCTGGGTATTGTCAGATGTGCAAAAGGGAGTCTCTTTTTATACAGAAAATTTGAATATAGTTTATAATTTTATTAAATTTCAATATAGTGTATAATTTTATTAAAAAGAAAAAAAAAAAAAAAGCTTTGAACAGAATGTCTTTCCTTCAGGCTAATTCTTCCTCCATTACAGAGACTAATTCCACTTCCTCTCTCTCTGACTTAGTAAGGGGGGCAGTCATCTTCCCTGCCAGATCCAAACTCTTCATACTACTTGAAATGGCCACACAGTACCTAACTGTGTCAGATTACTGTGCCATAAAGAAATTCCCAATAACATAGTGTCTGCTTAAAAAACTAAATACAAGAGATAAGAAGCACTAGGATAGGAACAGTAGTGCTGCTGGGAGGGGACCATTAGCATGAGGAAAAAATCCATGCAGCAGTATATAGACATCCCCTAACAGTGACTCTAAGAGCAACCCCAAGGCTAATTAAAACCGGGATTTGCAGTTTGGCATTGCTGGTGGGAGCACTCAATCAAAGCTAGCAGTACTAAATACTAGCAGCAGTTCTCTACATAAACTTTTAAACCACATTATTCCCCATCACACCTGTCAACCTTTTGATGCTTGTCTCCTTCTATATACCTCTGCACAGAGACTAAAATCTCATTTCCCACCAACTGTGAATCAACCCTAACCCTTCATGCATCCATTATCACATTTCCCCCTCTGACATGCCCTTGTTTTGCAGAGTGATCTCTAGCTCCACATGACTTGCTCAGCACTCAGCATCATTACAGCAGGCTCTGTGGGCAGAGCCGGATGAGCTGACAGGAGATGCTACTGTACACAGGCAATTAATCAGCATTAAAACATTCTTAGCAGGCACTCTCTGCTGTTCAGATAAATGTGTGCACACTGATAGCTGCGAACAGCTACCGCTGTGACGCTGCCCCAGATAACACAGGCTGAGAACCTGTGTGCCCAAAGACACCCTTCAAATCACCTGAACAACTTAAGACAGGCAGAAAAATTCAAAGTTTAACTCCCTCTACAATCTACTTTCTGGCTGGTGGTTTTGTGCTAAATCTCAGAAGTTAACTACGGTTTTTATAAGAGGAGAAGAAAATTTTTGAAGTTTAGTATTTGCTCTGTTAATTGTATCATACTATGCATATGTTACACATTTTCTTATACTGCAGTATTATAATCTAAGTATATTGAAGACTTTTTGGTAGGTATTAATACTGTTAGCTTAATATTGGTGTTTGCACTTCCTATTCTTTGGGAGTTTATTTTCTTTTCAGTCACTGGGGGGCTGCTGTTGGCCCCTCCCTTGAAGCCACCTCTTTTCCAGGTTGAACATGCACAGTTCCTCCAGCCTAACCTTGCAAGGCAAGTTCTCTATCCCCAGGAAGTGTGATGGTCTCTACTGAACTTCCTTCAGTTTATTACTAACTTTCCCATACTGGGGAACCCAAACCTGGATGCAGTACAGTACCTAGATATAATCTGATGAGTGCTTAGTGAAAGTAAATGATCGCTTTCTTTGATCTACTGGCTGTGTGCCAGGTGCCACAGCCCAGAATGCTGTTAGCTTCCTTTGCTACTGGGCCACAGTGCTGGATTACATCTTCTTGCTGCCTGCCAGCACCCCAGGGCTTTTCCCTTAGAGCTGCTTCCTCAGCCTCTTCATCCCCCAGTAAATGTCATACCTTTATGAAATATATGAAAGAGAGTACCTTCATACACTATAATTCTCCTGTCAGCTAGAACAAAACTAAAGTCAAATCTCACGTCGCGGAGGAAGAAAACTGTCCTTGTGACTGAGACACACTACCAGATGTAGAGTTATATTACAGTTAGATCTGTAATACTTCATTATGTATCTTGATTTTAATAAACCATTTAGTCTTTTGAAAAGAATATATTATTTTAATTTTGAATATTGCAGAGAAATATAATGTTACCCGGTTCACTCATAGGGCAGGATGGCAGGGAGAAGGTATGCTGCATTACCCAAAGTTTGTCCTAAACTATGGAAAGCAAGTTTTGAAGTATCTTCTATTCAAGGATATAAAAATGGTAACACTAAGAGAGAAAAATATAAACCTACCCCCTCAAAAAACAAATAAACACTAAAAAGGACAGTACTCCATTCAGCTGTAACGTAAATTATCACGGTATAGAGAAAATGCAAGCAATTTTAATTACTACAACACTTAAGTATGTTTTCATAGAAAATATTTCATGTTTATAGAAGATGTGAAAGGGCTTTCACAGTTCAAATAACTTTTTCAATGTTTACCCACTTTGTGACTGGTCTTCTGAAAGCTAAACTGAACTGGCATGTTTTCAGTCTTTTGAATTGGATTTATATGCCAGTAAGTTTTAAAATAATAAAAACTGATGGTGTGAATCTCTGATTTTTATATATATATATATTTTTAATTGCTTTGGGGATTTTCTGTAAACACAAAATATGCCTACCAACAACCTTCAAAAAGATACACTTCCTTTACATTAAAATTCACATGGCAATGTAAATGCAAGTTTCCATGTGAATAAAGTTATCAATGCTATTTTATTATACAATACTATTAGATGGCATAAAAAATATTTTTCTCAAATGATCCCTAAATAACTTGAAGATGTCTGAATTCTTTTAATTTAAGGTGACTTCTCTAGAGTTTTAAAGCGTCATACATTATGGCAGAATAATTTGGATGTACACGTCATTTGCCACCCTTAAAAATACCGTCTGAAAAATTAATTTCAAGATTCAGAAATCTTCACAGAATCTCCTATATCCTAAACATATCTATTTTATTCTATTTAATTTGTTTTCTTTAAGGAAATTTTGACAATGAATGGATTAACTTTCAGGATGTCAGCTTACACAAAGGACAGATTAACAGCTGAATCATCTTTTTCTTTTCTTCAGAGGTCAGAAGGCTACAGAAAGTTTTAGATAGCAATCAGTCAAAACTACAGTAATTCCAATAATTTTATCCTAAAAACCAAACTCTTCTTTCTACCATCCACTGGAAATAAGGGCAGATTAAACCACCAGACCTTTGGTTTCTAGACAACTTGGTGCTTCTGAACCTTAATAAATAATGGACTGTTATTGCCTCCTAAAGACAGCAAAAGGACTGCATCACTTACTGCACTTTGAGGATTAATGGGGAGTGAGAAATAAAAGACAGTAACATACAGTGAAATTCTGTCCTCCTCACGTAAGAGAATTACTCATGTAACTGAATCAAGGAATTGGTTCAGGAAATTCAGCTCCCAAAGAGCTTAGTAACTTGAGCTTTAGTAAACACAGAATTTAATTTCAGAAAAAAATTAAGTGAAATTTTCATGGGAAAAACACTTACTTTTTATGTAGCATTCATTATTGCATAATTAGGCTCTGCTTTTAGTAATTTAAGTAGCAGAATTCAGTAGGAAAAAGACTTTGTCTGGCAGACAGCCCCAGATCATCCTGAAAAGCTAATAATTCAACCAGGTACTTCAGAAGCATATCAGTACTTCCTGGATACTTGATACACACATTGAGACAGCAATTTTCCCTGAGATAACTGTCCTCTTGAGCATATGAATGTCTACATTTCCCCATGACAGGCACATTCTACAGCAAGAATAGCGGTGTGTCATACTATAATCATAAACTTGTTCTGAAATAAGTCTGCAAGCCTTAAAAACAAATCTGGAGAAGACTTCCTACAGTTTGTTTCTGGTTATTAAAAGAAGACGTCAGAATAACAATGCAGGTGAGCTGCCAAACAGCATCCATTGTAAAATAAAACCTGTAATTTGCCAGAAATCCAACCATTCTTGTTTCATACAGCTCATTAAATAAGTTTCATAGAAGTAATACTTGGTTTGTACAAAAGAAAAAGTATGACAGAACAAAAAGCACCCATGATCGATGGAAAACACACCTTTTAAGGATACAAAGAGCATTCAGAACTCCTTTGATTTAGTGCCACTAGTATTCCTGTCCAGTAAATGTTTCTTACTAAGGAATAAATACTAAGATTCTTGAAAATAATACCTATGTCTAGATACCTCTCAAGAAACTTCTTCCTTTGTTAGCACTTAATGCAGCGTGTACACTTCACTGACAAAATCAGCTCATTTTAAAATTTACGAAGTGTAATTGCAAACATAACAAGACAGCTTCATAAACAACATCCAAACACTACATAAATATTCTATTTGAAATTTAGTTTAAAAGAATAAAGTTCCTATCTAGCAAAAGACTAAGGCACAGGTAGTTGTGCTAGATTATAAATAAAACTAAACTTAAAAATACTAGTGATTTTAAAGATAGGCTAAGGCTTGAAACATTTGTTTTGGTTCTGCTACAAAACAGACAGGATGCTTTGATGGAAGCTAGTATTTTAAAATAAGACAACACAAAGACATTTTCTTTACACAAAGCCTGTTTTAGAAGGGACAAAAATACATTTTTCACTTATTTTGCTATAATGATATTATTCTACAAAATAAACTTGTCCTCAGCATTCTTCCACAAGGCCTGTATCAAAGAACTAACTGGAAGGTACACTTAAATAAACACTGAATGCCTAAATTGTGCTACGCACAACCTTGAAATGAATGTCAACAGCTATTCAAGTACCCTTTCTTTCTTCGTAATATCTAGTGATATTTGTTAATTTTTTAAGACCTACTACTTTATCTGACTATGACAATTAGCTTAGTTCAGAAAGTCTGCATAAGTAATAATGCAAGATGAGAATTACTCTTTTTTTTTTACTAATCAAAGACCATACAGTTACCTTCTGCAAGCATGTCTGGCACATCTGCTTGGTATCTAGGTCCCACTCTGATTTCTCCCTTGTCTGCTAAAAGCGTTTTCAGTGATGGATCATACACCAATGAATAAAAAAAAGTATCCTAAAAAAGAACACACATTTGCAACAGCATAATGATTTTTAAAATTAGGTTTGTAAATCTACATCACCTTCCATTTGGTAATTATTAAAGTAACCTCCTTTGCAGAGTGCTTTACAGAGCACAAATTTGGTACATTAATCTTTATTTTCAATTATTCAGATGTTTCATGAATACTTTTAAATGGCTAATTGAAGCTTGCCTCATGACAAAGAGTTATTTCAGAACAGAGCAATAACAAAAAGACTTACAGACAAAAAAAATATCAACAGATTTTAAAAGAATTATCTGTTTTTGGAGTTTCCTATGTTTCTTTTCCTAAATAACTCTATCATACTGGCTTTGTATTATAAATTAGTTTCAAAAAGCATAAAACGCCATCAGTGTCTGAAAAAGACTTACACAAAAAATAGTATTTTTGTATGTGACACAGTCACTTGAAGCATAGGGCAAATCTTCTTTTCATAAACATTTTTACTGATCATCAGTGGTTTTGGTGTAGAAATTAAAAAACCCAACATGCTAATTTCACCTAAAAACCACTGTCTGCCTGATGTTAAATTAAGACACTCTGAAAGAAAAATATGGTTATTCCAAAAGGTATTTTGCAATACAATGATCTTTCTAATTCTTGGGGAATTTTCTTCCCTTCTGGTAAGGCTAAGCACCCTAAGCTCCTTCCACAGAAAATGGAATGTAAGGAGATACTTTCCATACATTCATTCAGAGCCCTTAAAATTGAACTCCTATAAGTTCCCCTCTAAAGGAACCTGTCTTGCTCTCGCTGTTCTTTGACTACAGAAGATTGTTCTTCCTAGAACACCTTTGGGGGTTCAGGGGTAAAAGGAAAAAAAGGCACTTGGATTCCCCCTTAAATACCCACACGACAGGCAAAAAGTCTCTATATTTTTCTTTTGTAAGATATCATATGAATTACTTGAAATTAATTATTTTCTAAATACAACATACTCAAAATGGAAATTTAAGACTGTAAATTAAGTATTTATCCAGTAACATACTTAAAATGATCATTGTCAGTAAAATATTTTTTATAATTTATCATTCAATAAAGGATTTTAGAAGTATTGCTTTCCCAATTAATAAAGATACAACCATGAAAAAATGCATACACCCATCCTAGTATTTACTCAAAAGTCACATCTTACCTCTTTTTCCAGATATGACAGCACAGACTCAGTCTCATTGAGAAGTGCAACACTGCATTTTCCCCTACACAAACATAAGGAAGAATTGGCACTTTGTAAAAAGTTCAGATTTTTTTTGAAGTAAAAAATTATTTATAAGAAAATTATCTAGACAGTTTATAAACTTCTACATTAGTAATATAGTAAAATGTACTTCACCACACTTTTAAGATAACAAAATTAACATCAAAGCAACAAAATTAATTACTGTACTGACCCAAGCACTCAGATACATAAGAATTCTGCAGAACTAGGAAACAGTTTCACAAATAAGAGAAGCAATGAAGGAAAAAGAGCCCAGTAAACCATAAATACACATACAATTAACAAAAAGGCCTGGATGAATGGAATATCACCTCCTAGTGACTCACCTCCAGTAAATTCAGTATCTAATTTGAAAATAAATAATCGAAACTAGAAACAATGTAAGGTTTTGCCAATAGGCTGGTAAATACTTTTCTTTCATGAATGGAATTATTTCTAACAATTAATCATGGAGTTGTATTCACTTAGTCTATGGCAACATTACAATGCTAACTACCACATTTTTGTGCAGGCTGCCAGTAGAGAGCTTCCCATGGCTCAGCATTGATACAGATCTGCCCATGTAGATAACTCAGTGGAAGTTTGACTCCAATACCCTTACCTTTTCTCTCTCCTCTATCTCATCCCTTTCTCACCCAACATTCCTTTGGCCTCAAATTCTTCTGCCTCCAACTTCTCTGCAGAATTATTTTTAACAAATGGTATTTTAAAGAAACACACATAGATGTGGATGAAAAATGTTAAGCATGCTGAATCACCTTGCTAGCAACTGGCATTTTTATGCTACAGTTTTCAACGGAACTACCATTTTTTATAATCATATATATTTATCATCACCTTGTACTTCATGCACTGAAGTTTCTTTCCATTTCTAAGAGTTTAGTCAGTATTTACCAGGAGGTTCCAGTGGCCTGATACACATGGCTATAAGGACCCCTGTCCAGAACACCCTCCTCCCATAGAACAGACCAGCATACAAATACAGAAAATATAATTATTTGCAAAGACATCCTTGATTTTAAGGTAACATCAAAGCAGTTGTTGTAAAAAAGCACTGTTCATTCCAGTTGAGCTCAATCATAAAGCATTAGACACCAACTGTTAGCAGCTGATTATTGAATGAACATACCCAGTTACTGTCTTACTCATTACCAAGGCACATCAAAGGATATCAGGCTAAATCATCCATTAAGTCTGCAGTTTATGACCTGAATGTCTCTTCATGCCCATTATTTGTCAGGAGAACCACACCACTGAAGAAAAATGGTGGGAAGATAAGAGAAAAAAAATCTGAGCCCCATTCACAACAGCAGAGGAAAAGATTGCTGCAGCAGAGAAGCAGGAAACCTTCTCTACATGTGACCATGCCTTTGAATGTTTTTTGAAGCTTTTTGCCTTCATAAACCTAGAACATTTGCTTCTAAAAATTAATTGCATTATACCATCAAGTCAGTTTGTCAACTTTATTTTAAAAGATTTGGTTTGTGTGTGTGTCAAAGGCTAAAGAGGTGTTTACCTTTCCAGTTTGCTCCTATTCCATATGGCTCTAATATGCACTCTCTCCATTACAGCCCATCCTTTCTTAATTCCAAATATTGCAGAGGCATTTCTTCACTGTCATAGTGACTCCAAGAATATTTTATTGACTGACCTTAACATTTTATTACTGGCAATGTAAAAAACCAATTTCTATAATCTGGAAACCTTCCATACTAACTACAAACACTTTAGAATCTTTACCAAATACATAAAAGCCTACCACTTATTATTTCCTCTCTTTTTCCATCAGAGGAAAAACCTCTGAGCCTATTGTAAATGGTCTACTGGGTCTAACCAAGCATCTAGTTCAGTATATTGTCTCTGGCATCTCTCAATCATGGGTGCCTAGGAAATAACTTCAGCGAATACAGATTTGCAATGATATATCCCTAAATATTCACCAACCACCACTGCACTTTTCATCCTTTATTCCAATACCAAGAATCAAAGAGAGAAAGTTAATGTGGTTTAAACCACATTATGACAAGACTTTAGAGTTCTGGCTTTTAGGTATATATCTGAAAACTCAGCTTCTCCGGATTTAAATAAATATTCTCCTCACAGTGTTCTGTAACTTCATTTTTAATTTTTTCTACATCATTTCATATAATTGGGATGGATGGAGCTATATCAAAGAATAAATGTAGGAGGATAAAATCTGACTATTCTAACCTAGACAGTCTAGAAGGGAAAAAAAGAAGTGTGGGGGGAAGGCTAGCTACCAACAGAGACAAAGTGAAAGACAATACACAATGTATTTAGGAGATTGTAAAAATCAGTTACGGACTAAAATATAATTATACACTCTTTGCAGACTCCAGGATTTCTGAAAGTTTTGAGTATTATTTAGACTAGTAAAGTATAATGCCATAGTTTCATTGCCCCATTGGCAGAACCTCCTGGTATGTGACAAAAATAACCAAACTAAGGTAAAAATTGCAAAGACATAACAAACTTCTGTGAAATGAAAAAAAAATATAAAAAATTAAAATTGGAGAGTTGTCTAATATTTACTTCTATATGAAACCTTCTATCTCTTACCTGACTTTGAGTCTCTGATTTAAGCTATACTCCTCCACCAAACAGCATTCTTGAATTAACTGGTATTAACAGAGTGAATTACTACTAAATAGCACCAGTCTTAGTAACATTAATATTTAAACTGGTTTTGACCTTTTTCTCAAATAAAAAATATTCAGAAAAATAATTTTTACTTCCTACAGAATTCAGCAAAATTTATCTTGTTGAGGGAAAGCTTCAGCTACCTCAGCAATGTACAAATAGTTGCAAACAAAAAAATGAGGTAGCTTTTATGTCTTCAATTACAATTTAATTCTGATGAGACTAAATTGTCCATTCAGAATCCTTTCTGCTTTTAGTTGTGCTGTGTATTTAAACTGGTCACAAATAAAAAGCTCTTTCATAGAGCTGAAACAATACCAACAAATTTGTTATAATATTAAACCAGTCAGCAGTAAAAAGAAATTTAGAGGTCTTGCAATAAAAGAAGACATCAAAGCTTGCTTACATATATGCTCATGGTATTACTGGCCTTTAGCTTATGAACCAGTCAGAGTTCAACTGCCTCCCCTGTCTAGAGACCAGAGCTACAACTCAGAACTTTTTTCTTTACAGCAGAAACTATGTGAAAGGTGTTTTCACATCTTACACCTCCATTCACTTGTTAGAAACTCTTCTGCTCATGCATTTTTGTATGCATCCCAGGCTACTCCACCAGTAGGTTGACAATTCCTTAGGGATGCCTAACAACCTATTTCCCCACACCTACAATCTACTTCTATACTTCAGTGAAGCCCTTCTGTTACAACATAAAAATGAGACTCAAACACTTTCCACAAAACAGTCTAAAATACTACTCTGGAAAAAAAGCTACTTTGAAAAAAATACTTTGTTGTAGAAGAAGACATGTTATGCCCATATTTAATAAGGGTAGAAAGGAGGACCCTGGGAATTACCGACCTATCAGCCTCACCTCTGTGCCTGGGAAGATCATGGAACAGATCCTCCTAGAAGACATGCTAAGGCACGTGGAGGACAAGGAAGTGACCCAGGACAGCCAGCACAGCTTTACCAGGGGCAAATCCTGCCTGACCAACCTAGTGGCTTTCTACAACAAAGTGATTATGTTGGTTGACCAGCGAAAAGCAGTGGATGTCATCTATCTGGACTTCTGCAAGGCCTTTGACACTGTCCCCCACAATATCCTTCTCACTAAATTGGAGAGATATGGGTCTGATGGGTGGACAGCTCAATGGATAAGGAACTGGCTAGATGGTCATGTCCAGAAAGTAGTGGTCAATGGCTCTAAGTCCAGATGGAAAACAGTGACAAGTGGTGTCCCCCTCAGGGGTCAGTGCTGGGTCCAGTGTTGTTTAGTATCTTCATTAATGGTATTGACGGTGGCATTGAGAGCACCCTCAGCAAGTTTGCTGATGACACCAAGCTGGGTGGTGCGGTCAATATGCCAGGGGGACGGGATGCCATCCAGAGGGACCTGGACAAGCTAGAGAAGAGGGCGCAGGTGAACCTCATGAGGTTCAACAAGGCCAAGTGAAGACCCTGCACCTGGTCTAAGGTAGCTCAAGATATGAATACAGGCTGAGGGAGGTCATGCTTGAGAGCAGCCCTGTGGAAAAGGACCTGGGGGTACTAGAGGATCAAAAGCTGGACATGAGCTACCAATGTGCAGTTGCAGCCCAGAAGGCCAACTTCATCCTGGGCTGTATCAAAAGAAGTGTGGCCAGGAGATCAAGAGAGGTGATTCTGCCCCTCTGCTCTAACCTGGTGAGACCTCACCAAGAATACTGCATCCAGCTCTGGTGCCCCCAGCACAAGAAAGATGTGGACCTGTTGGAATGTGTCCAGAGAAGGGCCACGAAAATGATCTGAGGGCTGGAGCACCCCTCTTAGGAGGACAGGCTGAGGGAGTTGGGGTTGTTCAGTCTGAAGAAGAAAAGGCTCTGGGGAGACCTGATAGCGGCCTTCCAGTACCTGAAGGGGGCCTACAGGAAAGCTGGGCAGGGTCTTTTTACAGGGGCTTGCAGTGAGAGGACAAGGGGTAATGGTTTTAAGCTGAAAGAAGAGAGATTTAGGTTAGAGATCAGGTGTAAATTCTTCAGTGTAAGGGTGGTGAGACACTGGAACAGGATGCCCAGAGATGTTGTGGGGGCTCCATCCCTGGAGGTGTTTAAGGGCAGGTTGTATGAGGCTCTGAGCAGCCTGTTCTAATGGAAGGTGTCCCTGCCCATGCAGGGGAGTTGGAACTTGATCTTTAAGGTCCCTTCCAACTCAAATAATGCTGTGATTTCTTTACCAGCCCTAGCAGAAAGATAGGAACATATAATTCTAAAACCAAAATGCTCACCTTCTACAAGTGAAACAGCAAAGCAATGAGATGCTAATGAGGATTATACAGACATG